TTACAAATTCGCCGACACTCAGTGCTAAATCGAAAACCAACAAAAGAAATGGATTTTCTTTTGCACGAAAAGTTGCCTTCACGCTTTGGTGGGTGTAAACTATTTAAAAAAAAATCGAATGCGCTAAATGCGACCTTTTTTCAATGTAATGAACAGTCTCTCAGATTGGACGAACAAGTTGCGAAATTGAACGGGAAAACCTATATGTTATGATTCCCGAAGTTGATAAACAGTCACAAACGAATTACAAAGTGATGAACGATCAAGAAAAAATTAGGACAACGGTTGCGAACACAATTCTGATTTAAATAATAAATAAAAGAAGACAAATTCCAAAGAATCTGATTACACAACAACTAAATATTGGTGTGATCAATATTTGTTTTCATCTTAGTTCTCTTTTTTTGCCAACTGATGTACCTGCAGAAAATAAAATGTGAAGGAAATTTCAGCGTGTTTCCGCTATAAGTTCGAGGCACCCTGATGAGTTTAACGAGGAATTTGCAAAGACTGCAGGCCAAAATGTCTGGCACAGTTCTACGGTGGGTGTTATAGGGAGGGAATATCACTCGAGCGATGTTTTCTGTTAAAATCTTGACCAAAACTTAAAAGGTGTATAAATATAGAGAAAAAAATACAGTCTCCCACCAAAATCAATTCTCTGTTCTGATGATTGAGTGAGGAAAGTGTCAAATAACAGACACTCGCCTCGATGTAACGTTCTTGAATTCTATCACGAAAGGAATCCTCAACACTCAGCAGATTGCGAGCTGGAAATAATACCAACGAAAATGAGTCATTGAAAATCCGCTGGGAGATATCTTGGGGGCTGTTGGGGGAGGCATAGCTGAATTTCACAAGTAAAACACCCCCAGATCAAAATCTCTGTCGGGCGAAATGTGATCTGGTTTGATTATAGCGGAATGCGTCCTGCATGCAACGGCCCTGAACAGACCCACGCACGAGCAACAATATTCATGTCTTCTTTAAAGGATTTTATATTTTCGAATCAAACGCAGTAACTACCAAAACAAATGCCCAGATTTTCTGAGAGAAATCTGTATGCAAAAGGAATTTAAGGCCGCGTAGGATCATTTACAATTGCCCGGAAAAGTACATTTAATGACAGAAACCTTGCAATGCTGAGAGTGAAGATAAGACTGGTATCAAATACCCGGTGAAAGTATTTCGCCTGATAAATCGGTTGAAAACTTTGCAGGTGTTTTTAAAATTAAAAAAAAATAGTTAATGTGTTTTAAAGCACGGAATCAAGTTACGAGATCCAACAAAATAGTGCATACGTTTTCTCTGCTTTTGCTCAATGATAGTATCCACTGAGCTGAAACTTCAACAGGTTAGTTGCGACCTTCTTAAGTTTTTAAGCCATTTTGTTGCTTCGCACGAAAAAAATGCATCAAAAGCAAATAATCCTATGTTTTCTTTTTTAAATTGCTTGCATTTGAAATTGTAGGCATCACAATGAGCATACATTTTCTGCATTATCAAGGACAATCGATCTCATACCAAGGAAGTAGTGGCGGAAATCAGGTGGGCACCGCAGTCAAGGTACGGTCGTTACAAAAATAATTATGTTCCGGATTGGAAATCAGCGCACCGGTTTGACTACTAGCATCATCCCCCATTTGTTTGTTAACCGAATAATGTCCCATATTTTTTTACTATTATTTGTGTACCAACTGACCAAACAGTTTCAAAGTATTCAGCAAATACTACTATCGCCATTCCAAGAAAATATTCAACGGAATCTAAGTGGCATGCTGAGTGGAACCCTGCATGCAAACAGAGCTCGTGCTTCATATTTTAAGACGAACAGCGGACAAGGCGGATCCGGGGGGGGGGACCATGCCCCCCCCCCCCGCCCCGCCAAAAAAACACCCCAATTTTGTTTTTAAGTGATGTCGCAATAAAGGCAGGCACTGGGTACACTACCATCTTTTCGAAACAAAAAATGTTCAAAGTGGTCAGAAATGTCCTCAGATCGCCACAGAGCATTTAGAATTACAAAAAATTCGGGGCACATGATTAAGCGGGCCCTGAACCCCACGCCGTAATTTTTTGGACCCACTTTCCGGGGACCAATTTTTTGGGGAGGCTACCCCCCAAAAAATTGTGTTCTGGATCCGCCCTTGACAGGGAACAGAAGGGACGAATAATGTGCACAGACATCAACGCTGTACATGATTGCTACAAATGAATCCAACTAGATAAAGCAATTTGAACTTGAATAAAACTGTGTGCATCATCACGATCCGGTCGATTTGTATTTGCGCCCTCTTTATTCAGTGACACGTTCATCCTGCAGTGATTGAATGTTTGATGATCAAACCGGAATGGCGCACTGTGAACTCTAGCGAAATGACACAGTTTAACAACAAAGTTCAAAGGGTACTGAGTATCCACATAAATGATAACACAAAATAAGACAGGCATGTTTGAGTTGTCTGGATTTCCTGATAAACGTTCTTCCGTGACCAACTTCTCCATAACTCTTCATCCTGAATTAGTTTGAGTGATTGCCGGAATACAATGTGAGTACATCGATTCATGTTTAAAAATTAAAATGATAAATTAAACAGGGAAAAAACGAGGCAAAAAATAAGGGGGTGGTTGATCATACCTATATACTGTTTAGGGTAAAGAGTCGAACATTCGCAAGATTGTTTTCTTTAAACCAAAATGTTAACGCAGTAATTTTTTACCTGAACTATTACAAGTGCGTGAATTATTTTGAATAAGTGCGAGTCCCGATCAATTTCAACTATTCTGAATCACAGCAGGGAACTTGATGTAATGAGCTCTTTAAAAAAATGCTCCCAAAATTTGATTCATAACCAGTCGAGTCTGAACAGCTTTGTTTTTGACACTGAATTATTTCGTGTATGTATAGTGTTATATCAGGCAAGATATATCGTCTTAAAAAACTGAAGACGTTTTCGAAATAGTGTGCCGGTGGGCAGACAATTAACGTGCGTTAGCAACGAAATTCAGTGACAAGAACCAAAAAATAATCCCTTTAATTTATCTGTTTTGGTCAAATGTATAGCATCAACTAAGCTAAAAGTTCAAAAGTTAGTTGTGCTGCATCATACTTAAGATTGTGAGCAATTGATCCTATGTTCCTCTAACTGGTTCAAGGATGCTTGAACTTATGGCAATAGGAATCACAATGAGCATACAGTTTCTGCATTAGTGAGGGAAATCGATCTCATACCAAGGAAGTAGAGGCGCAAACATTACAGCTGGACTACCGCAGTCAAGTTACAGTCGTTAAATAAAGATTTATTTTCCGGATAGGAAATCAGCGCACCGGTTTGGCTCTAGTAAGCCTCCATCTGTTTGTCAACTGAAACTTGTCTCACAAAATATTTCAGATTTGTGAAAATCTGTACCAATCACCAAAAACTTTCGAAAAATAAGCCAAAAATCAATATGGCTGTTTGTCCAAATATCCAACAGAATCTCAGTTGCATTCTGAGTGGAACCCTGCATGCAAATACATGAGTGGATTCATCGAGAGCTTTTGCTTCAATCTCTTCAGGCGAACAGAAATCCTGAGCAATTTGTACAAACACCAACTCTACACATGATTTCTACAAATTCATCCAGTTAAATAAAACAATTTCAACTTGTATAAAACTGTGTGCATCATCACGATCCGGTCCGTTTGCATTTGCGCCCTCTGTATTCATGACACGCTCATCCTGCTATGATTGAATTAGTCTGGTTCCCCGACCTGACAATTTCCCCCGACGTCTACACGTCTAAATTGTAGGTCAGGCAGCCTCCGTGGCTAAAAATAAACATGACGACATTGACGGCCCTTTTTCAAAGCTCGACTTCGTTTCCGAATTCGCTTTATCACATAAAGCTTTTAATGTTCCGATAATTTTTTTAAAAATAAATCACCTGCTTCATATATCATACAGTTATGATATACAGTTTAATACTTCTATAAAAAAACATTGACTAATTTTAACCTGGAATCTTCAAAGTTGGACACCCAAACCACTGTTAGTAGGCGGAGCCGAATTGAGACCACGCCGCGTTTTGGAAAATGCCGGTAACGGTCGTCAAACTTGTGCATGACGCAGCAAAAAGTTCGCCCCTCCGTATACAATCCGAGTGCAACATCGTCGTTGAATTTCAAGTTTTCTAAATAAAAGCAATGGATATTAATTATCAACTAGTTTTTTTAAGTTTTAAATAAGCAATCAGCAGTTAATAAAACCTATATTATACTCGGAAATACTCGGACACTATCCGATTGTCGACGAAATAAATTCGGCAAACTTCGGACAGTTTCGGAAAAAGGAGGAATTCCTCCCGTTTTAGTCACGTGATGTAAATTGTAATACATTGTATTACCGGAGGCTACCTGACCTAAGATTCATCAGGAATAGTCGGAATCTTTTGGTCTGGGAACCAGACTATGATTGAATGAAACTTGATGATCAAAGCGCACTGTGAACTCTAGCGAAATGGCAAAGTTGAAAGGGTACTGCTTGAGCAATAACATACAATAAGACAAGCATGTTTTTGATGTCCGGCTTTCCTGATAAACGTTCTTCCGTGACCAACTTCCCCATAATTGCTGATCCTGAATTAGTTTCAGTGATTGCCGGGAAACAATGTGTTTTAAAATTAAATTGATAACATTAAAATGGCAAAATGAGGAAGAAAATAAGGGGTGGTTGATCATACTGATTTTATGGGTGAGGTTATTTATAAAGGTTGGAGCTTTCGCAATATGTCTTCTTTAAACCAAAGAAAGACACTTTTTTAAAGTATTAAGAGTGCGTGAATTTTTTTAAGCATTAATCACCATCAGTTGATACTAACCTGAAATCAGCAGGGAACTTGATGTTTAAACTCTTCTAAAAACTGCAATCAGATATGACTAGAAAAAGTCCTACTGATAGCCTTTGTTTTGACAATACAACTTTCCGTGAATGTACAGTGTGCTATCCATTATAGTTGTAATGGTTGTGTTGATTGTATTTCTTGTTCCTCTATAATGACCCCTTTCTCTGGTTGTTTATTCACTACAAACCTTGCATTTACTTTGTTATTTATTCATGTGACTTGAGTGAAGTCTACTCAGTGTGACTCGAGACAAGGCTATACAAAGTATTGATTTTTCTAGTGGAGCCAAAAATAGTATTGATTTATGGAGCTGTGATTTTGAACTTGTATTTTGTGAATATTTCTTAGTCAAGGAAAATGAACATTATGTTTAGATTTTAAAGAAGAATTATGCTTATCTTGATTAGAAATGTGTATTATCAAATTATTTGTCATCATAGGTTTGGCTTTAGATCACTTTTGTGGATTGTTCACTTGACGTGAACTACACGTTGTTAATTCACAGCTCCCAAACCATGCGGTCGCGGCAAGGCCTAGGCTAGGCAGTGCCTGCCCGATCTTTACAGGTAAATGTATTGTACTTTTTTAGGTCATTTTTGAATGCAATTATTTCACCAAAAATCCAGATGATTATTACCTATGTGCCCTTTATTGTATCAGCAAATTATTATAGATTAATATGGTGGTAGTTTTGGAGAATGTAATGAAGTTTTTGGAGAGATTTTTGCTGTAAGATTTAGGGAGCACTGTGACCAAATGCACGAGGGTTAGCAACCCATGTTTGCACTGATGGCACACACAGTGTGACCATGTGCAGTGCGCGTGCATGAGCAGTACATGTATTGTGATATGTAACTTACAGTAGTTTGTGGTTTAAGAGTGATTTTATTTGGACGTAGGCCTATATTGCATTATTGGGCACTTAATTGTCTGGAGACCAGTTTATAGAAATGCTTACAACTCACTGTCATATAGTTTTGGAAAGTTCATGTAAGTTGGTGATCATATTGTGCATTTTAGGGACGGATGTGGGTGCTTGCGGTGTGTGATAGTGTGTGCGAGTGTTGGTCAGTCAGTGCGCAGGGCCGGCCTGTCTGTTTGTGATTCCATCCTTGGGTGCTCGATGCGGTCACCATACTTGCATATAGGCTTTTCACTCTTGGTAATTAACTGGGTAATGTGTGTACATCTTTCTAATACATGTACGCTTATTATTTCATGAGTTACACATGTACATTGTTTGTATTTTGAAATGAAACTTATGAGTGCCTGCCCGATCTTTACAGGTGGCCCCACCTGGGCCGATTCAGTTTGAATAAACAATCAGAGCAAGGGAGATCCAGTTTCCGTGTGAGCACTCACTCCAACAAAGAACCTGCGTGCCCCCCTCTTCCCTTACTCCAGAACCAGACCAGAGCCCCCCTTCCCTGAAGTCCCCGCGTTAGAAGGCCCCTCACAAGCGTAGTCGGCAGGATTGTTGGAGTTGAGCCCATGCTGAGCACCTGATAAGACTGAGGAGAGCTGCTGGATCCCCGGTCTACGTGTCATCGCGACTCAAGTATTAGTATTTTTGTTGTAATAGTTATATTCACTGATCTGAGTGAGTTATTGTTTTCTGTATGGAGTAACAATCAAACAGCTTAACGAATCGTTAATTGATCACACATAAGGTGACTGTGTAATTCAAGTGTTAATAATTTGGTGTAAGTAACTGCCAAATTACACAGGCCTACAATTGCTGTGTAATCCCAAGTGTTCTTTATCACTGAGTGTTAAGTTTGCTGGTTTAGTTTTGAATTAAGGTGCACAGTGCACATCCAGTGTGATTCAAGTATTAATAATCTTGTGTATTAACTGCCAAAATACACAGACCTACAGGTGTTGTGTACGCCCAAGTTTTCTATATTGGCTGACTGCTAAAATTGTTTGTTATTGTGTTTACCTAACTTTAGAGTTGCACATCATATTTACGAGAGAAAAGTTAGCTAAGTGTGTTAGCTTGGTTTTGTGTCGATTGCTTGTGTACTGCCCATTTTGCATCTCATAAGGGTGTTCAGTCTGCTTATTGGGATTGAAAGATAAGGAAAGTTTATTTGAATTTTGCAAATTGTAAGACACAGACACAACATTTTTCGGTGTTTATTGCAGTATAAAAAAAAAGGTGTTTATTGAAGTTGGATATCAATTATTTCAAGTGTTACCCGTATTGCTGTAAAAGTTGCCCTGTCTGTTAAGATTGACAAGGAGAAACAAAACTTTACTTGCATTTTGCAAATTTTAAGATCTTGCAAATTTTAAGACATTGATACAACTTGTTCTGCAGGTTATTTTAAAGGTGTTGACATAGTTTTCCACATTTGTGTGTGTATACCATTGTTGTGGAAATTGACACAGAATTTTGCACTAATTGTGATTTGTATTTTTCTGCAAACTACCATTCAGTCAATCATTCTACATTTTTCATTGTAGAGAATTGCATATTTTGCAGTATTTTTCCCCTTCCCAACTATTATGGCCTCCTACGTCAAGGTGCAAGGGACTGGGCATGTAAATCGGTTCCCTTTGGATGATGCTGGCTCCCTCAACCTGGCAGTCCTACAAGCCCAGTATCCTACTGCTAGAGGACTTCTTTACTCCGAAGACGACTGCAAAGTGGTGGTGCCGGCTCAACAGGGTATTATCAAACCACCGGCTGATGGGTGGAGTGAGCGCCTCTATTCGGTTCTCCTTCCGGAGCCAACTACCCCTCCTACAAATGAGAAGGCGATCCTCGACATCCAGTCTCAGCTTATGAAGCTGCTTCTTAAACCCCAGACCCAGTTGGTGATGGCGCCTGAAAGGAAGATGTCAACATTCGAAGGCAAAGTAGGCGAGGTGAGGGAATTCATCACGAACATGGAGAATGCTTTCAAGCGGTATTCAGTTCCAGAGGATCAGCAAGGAGCATTTCTTCTGGATTACCTCCGAGGTGGCCCGAAAGCAGAGGTGAAGGCTCTCCTAGCTGAACGAAAGACGATTGGGGAGATCATGACGTTTCTGCGAGAATCTTACCGTGATAAGCTACCCGTGGGTGAATTGCAACGGCTGTTCCTTGAAAGAAGACAGAATCCAGGGGAGCCTATCCGAGACTACGCGGTTGATCTTGAGAAGCGCTTCTTGCGTCTCACCCGAATGGATGCTAAGCTGTACTCTAAGCCCGACTCAACTCTTGCTGAACAATTCATCGAGGGAATTGATGACTTGTACCTTCGCAATTCCTGTCGGGATCTGTACGAACGGGGTACCATCGAGACGTTCCGTGAGCTGAGGGAGTACGCCATCAAGCGGCAAGGGCGAGAGGAATCCCGAAGCAAACCCAGCGACGTGTACAGTGCGGCTATCCAAACGTCAGCACTTCGAGCAGTTGCCAACGAAGTTGTTGATGCAGTTCGTCAATTGACGCAACCATCCTCTGGCCAAGCCCCGATGACATCCGCAAATCCGCCAACCTACCCCCGTGGGCGAGGATGTTTTAACTGTGGCAGGCACGGCCACATAGCTCGCTTTTGTAGAAGTGATCGAAGATCGGCCTACCAGTGGAGGAGCGATAACACTTACTCCCGCCAGCCAATGCCAAACTACGTGGAGTCGCCTGCCCAGAATCAGATGCCAACCCACCACACGCAGCAGTACATGATGCCACCATATCCCCAGAGCTTTGGTCCTAATCCTCACCCATTTATGCCCAAGGAAGAACAGCAGATGACAGCACCATCCCACACAGAGGCGTTAAACCGCAATCCTCCGCTGTAGGGAGCCGTACCGTGGAGATTAATGTAGGCTCAACTGGAGAGACTACTCCAGAATTTATGCAGAAGGCTGTTGGAGAATGTTTTGCTGTTGATGTTTTATTTTCGAAAGTTAAAGTGACTTGTCTGTTGGATCCAGGATCCCAAGTCACCACTGTGGGGGAACGATTCTTCCGTCAGTGTCTCGAACCTGTGGGCTTCAAACTTCAAGCCATACCGGAACCGTTCACACTTGTGTCTGCTAATGGTTCTTCTATCCCCTACATTGGGTGTTTTGAAACAGATGTTGAAGCCGTCGGACTGGTCATCCCATCTCGGGTGGTGCTTGTAATCCGTGAGAGGTACTCTTCACTACATGCTTGGAAAAGCGGGAGTGTGTATGGTATTCTAGGTATGAATGTTCTCCAGGGTTGCTGGGAGGGGCTCATGTCTACCCAACAACATTCCCGACTGAAAAGGATCCCATGGCCAACTCCAGATCCAGTTTGGCAGAAGGCAATGCAGACGGTTAATCGGCGGTTGACATTTGGTGCAGAGGATGGACAAGTGGGACAGGCACGGTTATGTGGACAGCCCTTGGTGCTTTCTGCCCGCCAGGGAGTGGTGGTTGAAGCCAGAAGTCGGACAGGCCCAGCTGACGAGGCATATGAGGCCGTTCTGGAGCCAACCAGTGATGGAGGTCTACCATCGGGTGTCATTATCCCACCATGCCTGGTGAAAGTAGACAGTGGGAGGTTTCCTGTTGTCTTGTACAACGAAACAGACGCTGAGGTCGTAATACCATCGTCAACCTCACTGGGAAAGCTCTACCTGGGGTATTCTGTGTCGTGTAAGGATGGCCACAAAGAAAAGGAAAACTCAAAAGTGGAGATCAAACAGGAGACGGTAGCTGTCGAAGTGCAGCCAAGCTCAATGCCTTTAGCAGTAGATGTCGATGTGGCGGTCCTGGAAGATGAACAGAAAGCAAAGGTGGCATCTCTCCTGAGAAAGCATGAGAACGCTTTTTCGTGTAATGACCAAGACTTCGGTTTTGCGGATAAAATTACGCATCGCATTAGCACCGGGTCTGCACATCCCATTCGACAACGGCACCGACCTCTACCACCCTCACAATACAGAGCAGTACGTGAACACATTCAGGACCTACTCAAGAAGCAGATTATCCGGGAGAGCTCAAGCCCATGGGCATCTCCTGTGGTTATTGTTCAAAAGAAGGATGCCAGTATCCGGCTATGCGTTGACTATCGGCAACTTAATCGACTCACTCATCGGGACTCATTCCCGCTCCCTAGAATCGAGGAGTCCCTACAGGCCCTAGGTGGGGCCAAGTTTTTCACTGTTCTGGACCTCACCAGTGGTTACTACCAAGTCGCCATGCATCCAGATGACATCGAGAAAACTGCCTTCACTGTTCCTTTCGGCCTATTTGAGTATACGAGGATGCCCTTTGGCTTATCAAATGCTCCGGCTACATTCCAACGTCTCATGCAGAGGTGCCTTGGGGACCAGTGCTTTGACAATGTCCTAATCTATCTTGACGACATCATTGTTTACTCCTCCGATTTTGACTCGCATTTGGCGCACCTTGACAGGGTTTTCACCAGGCTTCGGGAACAGGGGCTTAAACTCAAGCCGGCAAAGTGCCACCTTCTTCAGCAAGAGGTGCGCTACTTGGGACATCTGGTCTCGAGCAAGGGAGTAGCAGTGGACCCGGAGAAGATAGAAGTTGTTGTTGATTGGCCGGAGCCTAAGACTGTGAGGGATGTACGGGCGTTTCTTGGTTTCACTGGATTTTTCCGGCGTTTCATTGAGGGTTACGCCTCCATTGCACAGCCACTTTTTCAGCACTTGAAGGGTGACCGAACAACCAAGAAGAAGAAGAATAGGCCAACCAGAGATGAGATCGAACTAGGGTCTTCTGGCCAGGCTGCCTTCAGGTCGCTCATTGATCGGCTAACCAAAGCCCCGATTCTTTCATATGCCAACTTCTCTAGACCGTTTCGGGTTGAGACAGATGCCAGCGGCACCGGCTTGGGAGCCATTCTCTTCCAGGAGGATGATGATGCTCGACTTCATGTTGTGGCCTACGCTTCGCGCACACTGAAGGCAGCTGAACGAAGTGGTCGTTACAGCGCTTTCAAGTTGGAGTTGTTGGCCATTAAATGGGCGGTGACCGAGGTCTTCAAAGACTATCTCCTGGGTAACAAGTGTTGCATCGTGACCGACCATCACCCGTTGCTGTTTCTGGACAAGGCCAATTTGGGATGCACCGAAATGCGGTGGGTCCAGCAACTCAGCTCATTCGAGTATGAGCTTGTCTACCGACCAGGCAAATGCAACCAGGCACCTGATGCCCTCTCACGGCGATGTAATTCCCAAAATGAAGCTAACGTTGATCAGGAGAACCAGAACCTATGTGAGCCAGTCGAACCCATGGTGATGTTGTCAAGTTGCATTTCAGCTTGTCTCACAGGCTACACCTCTGGTGCATTTCTGCCACCGGCTTTGTGTCACCACATTGAAGCCTGTCGTATTGGCGGCATCAGCT